CTATCTATCTATCTATCTATCTATCTATCTATCTATCTATCTATCTATCTATCTATCTATCTATTTATCTATCTGTCTATCTATCTTTCTATCTATCTCTCTGTCTATCGATCTATCTGTCTATATTTCATGACTCACCCTCCAGACATTTTGTGATAGTTGGCTGCAGTTACAACGAGCAGGGTGCCTGCCACAGCTCCTGTCACCGCTGACTTCAACCATCTCAGTGTTATTACTGATCTCAACGTCTTTGGGGAGTAGAGGTGGGCGTGGTGGGCGAGATGGGAGGGGGAGGGGGAGGGGGTGGAGAGAGGAAGCGGGAGACGAGGAAAAGGGAACAGTGAAAACATTGAGAGTGAGGAGGGTGGGGGGAGGTTGCTGGAGTGTGGTGACTGGGAGATTTTATTCTGTAGAGTTTAACTAGTTTCGGGACGTAATAATGGACACCCCCCCCGCACTTCTTTCTTCTTTCCCCACTTTCACCAGAGAGAATAATGGGTCGCTTTTAAGCACAAGGGGGCTATCCCAAAAATGCTGTTTTGAGAAGATCGAATGTAAAGTTTTTGCCCCTTGTACAGTTTCTTTAAAAGACAAGGAGAGTTTTCTCAATAACCAAAGAGATATAAACACCAATGAAACCAAACTTCTCCTATAGGCAGGGCACTGCCCACTTTTGGTGTAACTCAAGATTTCTGGAAACCCCCGAAATCTGGGTTAGCCGGCTTGTCCTTAAAAGCGACCAATTTTTATCGAGTATCTTGGTCTTTCTGCAGAGATGTCATATTCCTCTCAGCCAGGTTTGGCCATGACAAGCCGGGTTGGATGCCCTCCTTTTTAAAAAGTGCTCTAAATTGTGTCAACGGGGAGTGAAAACACTTACATTAAAAGCTACTGCTTTTGTAGTTGCCCAACCCCCAACCATCCCCTCAAGTTACCTGCACAACTGAATTCTTCATCATGAGCTGTATTCTGCTTGATCACACCTAGTTTTCTGAAAATAAAATATAAACAAACTCGAAGATTATATACCTTATGAAGATATACATTTTTCACATGTTCATCATTGAGTGGAAAGTTTCAATCAAGGTTCGGGGGGAGGGGGGGGGGAGACAAAGCCTGTGATACAACAGCCTCGCCAGGGAACAGCGACTGCTGACGTCATTATTGCCAAGACACAGCAGCGTGAGAAAGGGACAATATTACAGTATTTTACTACTTAGATTTGTTACAGTTTAACTGGTGTAATCGCTTACAGAATCGAATACAGTTAGACCAGATACTACGTTACACTTCTTTTCGATTTGCAATATCCAGAGATAAGTCAAATCACCCTGAAGTTGAGGGGGGGGGGGGTGTCAGGGTTTTTTCCCAGCAAACTCCAAACGTATAATTTCTGCACAAAATACACGCGTGCCCCACTTCTTTCCCGTACTTAATATACAGTGGTTGTCGTGCGTTGTTGAACTGCTTTCCTTTCAATTTAGTAACTCTCAGCTGTTGAAGTATGGTAGTGCTCTGACCAAATTCCCCTAATGCAGTGTATAAAAGCGTAACACATGACTTTAATACATGACTTCAGATTCAAAATTGTCAATTTAAAAAGAACTTTTGCTAAAGCTTATAAATCGCACAATCAGGTTCCCCGCGAGCCGCTTTGCTTATTTTGATACGCTGATTCCGAAAATGGAAAAAGATTTTAGCTGTGGTTATAATTATTCTCGGTACTTTTCTTATGTGTTAAAAGAGAACGCTAAAAGACAATCGATTCCAACAGAATGAACGGCGCAAATTTCGGAAAGATTCCTTAGTTGTTCTTTTGTGTTGTTGTTGTTTCTTTTTGCTTTTGGCTTGTTTTGCTTTGTTTTGTTTCATGTTTCCAATAGAATTAAAAATCGGGAGCGAATTTCCTCTTTTCTCAGTATCTTAATGGGGTAGTGTGGTGGTGACTCAGCCAGAGCTGAAACAAATTGCTAACTTTTAAAATCCGATTAAATAATATCTGATGTTATTCGTAATCGACTCCTCAAAATTATCAAAATGTACACATTTTTTTAAACATCGTATAAATGTTCTGTTACCCCAGCCTTGCGAGCCTTAATTCTGACCTGTTCACACATGCAAGAAACAAACGAACCGAAGTTTGCCTCATCCAGACCATAATCACGTCGTTTCTGCTTTGGTGGACATGCGACCTCCACCCGTCTTGTTATAGTAGAGGGCATGTGGCTTCATTTTCGTGCCCCTACCTATCGCCAGAATTAAGATAAGAATTTAAAAGGTGGGCTTCTGACCCTGCCTATCAGGCCCAATCTGGCCTGAGAGGGTTACTACATCCCAGCAGAAAGACCGAGATACTGGATAAAGTTTCTCCCCTCTCGATAATCGAACTCGGGTCTCCTGTGTGCAACAGCGAAGCGTCGAAATGCTACACCACAGACGCTGAGGGCTTTTCATAGCAAAGCGGAGTATTAAATAGAAATACTAATAGGAATTTATATTTCAGGCTTCTTGGTGAAATAGCTCACTAATCAGAAATGATGGAAATGAAGAATGTGGCATAACATTATGTCTGCCCGTTGGAAAAATTTTATCGGGTTTTTATTTTTTTTATTTTTTTTTTGGGGGGGGGGGCGGGAAGGGAGAGTGGAGGGGGAGGCGGGGTTGGGGTTTTTTGGGGGGGGGTGGGAGAGGTTGTCTTTTTCCTTTTACTTTGGGGGGGGGGTTCTTTTATTGCTTTATCGTTTCACCAACTATCATAATTTTAGAGCCTGACCTTCACTCTTTTATGGTAGAAAATACTATCATTTTCTTTTCTCCCGGCCAACGGGCTTGTGCTTGAATGACCCTACCCTTAAAAAATCTTTGAACCAAGTAGGGCTGGGCGTGATGATCCACCCGTGGACCGTGTAATCAATTTCCCAAAAGACCATTAATTGATTGCCCTCAGTGTCTAATTAATTTTTTTTAAACAATATTAGGATAGGAGAAAGAACACTGAAGACAAACATTAATTTCTTTTTATTTGTCTACACTATATATTTTTTTATATTATTTTTTATTTTATTTATTTTTTTTTAATTTTTGGGGAGGGGGGGGTGGCATCTTTGAGACGTAATCGACACTTCGTCCCACTAACACGCACTTTTCCATCACGAAAACTTAGACTGTAGGCTAACCTACAAAGAGCGGCCGGCGGCCATGACAGTGCCCAGTCTATGAGTATAATAAGTCTATGGATGGTTCTAATTTCGTTGACGTATGTTCCGATGTTGACGAGACAAAGGCCAGGGATGACACTGATATAAGAGACAAGAAAAACAAGACGCGGGACCAAAAGGAAATATAAGAAAAAATAACAACTACAAAAACTAAAACAAAATAGAGTAAAAGAATAAACAAATCAGGGACGCCCTCCAACCCCTCACACATAGGTACAGAACTGAGAGCTGTATTGTTCATTCTAGTTACACCGAAACCAACAACAGAAAAACTAGCCTGAAACTGACGTCCAGCCGTTTACACACAGAAATGTCTTATATTATATTATTCTTTTAGCTATATTAGTAAAACAAAAACAAAAAAACAACAACAACAAAAACACCCATTAAAGTATCAACTTATCAATAGCTCCTTCCAGCCGCCTACATCCAAAAAAGTGTGGGTTTTAATATTCTTTAAGTTATATTTAAAAAAAACACCAAATAATCAAAAACCAAATTGAAATGAAAAAAATATCAACACACTATAAGCTTTTTTTTCAGCCGCCTTCATCCAGTAGTGTTCTTTATATTCTTTTTTAGATATATAAAACAAGAAACAAAAAACAAACAAGCTAACAAACAAACAAAAAATACAAACGAAAACAATCAAAGCAAAACAGTAATGATATTAACCTACCAATGGTGCCTCCTAACCACTTGCATCCAGAAGCATGCGTTGTAATATTGAGTCAGTGGCGTAGTTGAGACCCAAGAAAACGCTGAGAACGAGGACAATTATTTAGGTAGGGACTGAGACACAGTGCTATGACTTTGATATTCTCCGTATATGTAACGACTACCCTCACAGACCGAGCTGGGTTCGGGTGATGGGCGGGGCTTATAACTTATAGAGGGATCTAACTATGCATGTTAGCCGCAGGACGCACAAAACTGTTGGGGTTTTTTTTTTGGGGGGGGGGGGTTGTTTTTTGGTGTGTGTGTTTTGGGGGATTTTTTTTTTTAGGTAGCCGACCTGCCAGACAGTCTGACACACACGCTGCCCGCTGACGATAAAATTTTTGTTTATAAAGTAATTCATTGACAACTGCATGTACATCCTGTGGTGTAAATTAATTCAGATTCAAAAACCAGCGTATACATCAAAACCAACGAAATGAATGTACCAAATTAAGTTAAATGGTGCGCACCATACTGCCGTAAGATGACTAAACACCTTTTTTTCGTTTTGGCACTATTTAAGAAAATATTTGCAACATAAATCGACATAAATCAGTAAAGTTACCCTTCCGGTGTAAAAAAAAAAGTCAAAGTGAAACTGTGACTAGTTTTTTAAATAAATTCGAATTCAAATTTCGGGAGAACGCCTTTTTTAAATAGTTAGGCTCTTTACCTCGAAACTGCTGTGAAATTTTAAAGGCGTTTTGTCAGCTTACGGCAGTTAAATGTTTTAATTGACTCCCATTTCAACAAAACAAATACAACAAAACAACAACAAAATAAAAACGACGACGAGAACAACAACAACAATAAACAATTGGTACGAATATGCTGTTCCTGCAGGCATTCGTAGTTCAAGGATCAAGTATCAATCAAGGGGCACGAGAGGGTTCAGAATTTAATTAAAGTATGAGGTAAATTTATAATGATGTTGGTTTTTTTCGGTAAACATATGATTTT